AAGTGTCGAGGAATGGTTATGTAATGAGGTTGAATTTGCGATTTATATAGTAGTCAGTTAATACAGGTTTTTGATTTTCTAAAAATTATTGAGTGAATCATGTCATATCTTTGATCAGTTGAGGAATAGGATTATTTTTGATTTTTTAATTGGTTGAGTCATATCTTTGATCAATCGAGGATTATAGAAATATAAGATTAGATTTTGATTATATCTAAAGTAATAATTCAGGATGGTTAGATTATCTCAGAGTACAATTTGCATAAATGAAAAACATAAATAAACAGAAATCAAGAATATAAAGTAAATAAACATGAGAAATATTTGATAAAATAAGCGGGATTAGTGAATTGTAAGTTGATTAGAACTAACTTTGAATTTTGATTATACCCGAGTAGTAATTTAAATGGATGGATTATCTCGGAGTATAATTTAGACGAAAGAAAAACATAAATAATGGCAATTAAATTTACTAGGTTAGATTAAAAGATTAATGCAAATTTTGTTGAAGAAAGTTTGTTATATGCACGAGAAACAAATGTCAAAATCCTAACATATACAATATATGCAAAAAAAATAAAATATATAAATATATATAAGATGAAATAAAATATACCAAAGTCAAAATAAATTGTCTGATCTGGCCTGGCACGGACAGTATTAGATTTCGGGGAAGGGAGGGTTTGATTCTCCCAAATGTACAGGCCTAGGGTGGAGCAGACACTTTATTTAGAAATTAGGATTAAGGGTATTGATATTGGGTTTTCTTCTGTTCCTATTCTGATCTGAAATTAGAAAAAATATGAATTAGTTAAAGGTAGAGACAGAATTCCTCTGAGTGTTTTTAAAGGGCATTGTGTTAGTTTTTGTACGTTTTTGATCATGATCCAGGTATCAAAACCGCTAGCGTTATGAGCAATTGATGTTATTCTTTTTTGATCTATTTTTCCTAAACGTTGTAACATTTGATCGATGCAATCTGTACCTACAAATATTTCTACTATATTCATTAGTTTATCATAAAATTCTTCTGGAACATTATCTGTAGGATTTAAATCTGGAAAGAGATTATTTATTCTGTCTAACATTTTTCTTAGTTTTTCTAAATTAATTAACGTGCAAGAATAAGGAATGACTTTTTTTCGCTATAGGTTTCGCAATCCCATGCGTATAAACAATCATCGTGAATGGTTGGAAAAACGTTTAGTTTTAGAGGTGAAACTCGAGTTATCGCATTATCATCTCTACAAGCTTTCCATACTTTTTTCATCGTAATTATCTTCTATTTCTGTAATGCCTAAGGTTTTGTTATTTCTTCTTATGAAACAGAAATGTGATTTATGTAAGTAAAATACCCAATTTAATTCCTCGGATACTTTCTTTGGTTGAAAATGTCTATGTTTGGGCATATCAATTTGAAAATTAGTATTAAATTCCTTATTGAATTCACAGATTCTAGCAGTTGTCATAACTCGTTTTATGTTTGATTTTGAAAAACTGTTGATGAAATCTTGAAATTCTCTCGCGTAGTCTTCGTTTAAAACACGATTAACGCACTTTACAAAGCAGTATCCATCGCTCGGTATATAACAATTTATACTGATATATTCTTTTATCTTTTTGAGTAGGGTAACACCACTACCATTTTTTGATCTTTTTATTTCTTTGAAATTGTTT